GCACCATTAGATGAAAATCTAATAACACTAAAGCAATTCTCTTTTGGAAATCACCACAGCCTTCTCTTCAAAAATCATCAATATACTGATATACTGTGTATTGGTGAAACCCAATTCCAACCCGGGAGATCACTGTCAATGACCTCATCACTTATGGTTTCATTGCTATGAAACAATTTGAAAATAATATTATTGTTACCAATTGGCACTTTTGCAATTTAGCACAATAGGCATACCTTTTAAAAGCTGTAAGTATGACGTCTCCTTTCATCCACAATTGAAAAATCTTATTACCCTGCTCTCTCCATAAATGGCTTAGCTCCTATCAAAACTTTCTTCTGTAGTTTTTAGACTTCCTTGAATTTAGCTTTAAAATAAAAGAGGGGGGATTGAAAACTCACACATACACACATATGTATATGTACACACATATGTATATACCTCAATGAATTTATTACTTTACTGTTTTAGGGACACATGCTACCACTTGGCCGGTTAGCTCAGTTGGTTAGAGCGTGGTGCTAATAACGCCAAGGTCGCGGGTTCGATCCCCGTACGGGCCATCAGTGCATGCGTGCATGTGTTTTAAAATGTCTCTATCCTAAGAACATAAACCTTCCATTTCGGAAACAAATACGAGCATTAGAGGAAGAGTTCACCGAATAAAACAGCCTCATGGGGGAGTCATGAGAGTTTAACAGAAGTGGCAGTTAATAGAGCTGTGATAGTTTCTTCCTTGGTGCTTGTTGCATTTCCAGGAAACAACATTGTTTTGATGCTTTAAACAAACTTTGGTGGAGAAAAAGAAACGGGGTCAGCATAGTCAGCGACTTGAGGAAACTAGGTATCCATGGCTGTCACGTCTGTGCTGATTCTTAACCCTTCACCTGGGCAGTTTCCCCGTCAGCTGTCCAGAGCGGGGACTGAAACACTCTTCACCCATCTCCCCGCGTGCAGCGCGTTCACAGCCCCGCGGCCTGGACCAGCAGACGCGGCGCACTTCCGAGCTCGCCCTGCAGGCCGCGGTGCGGCGGGCAGAGTAGGCCGACAACTTTCATAAAGTTCTCAGTGAAGCAGAGCCAAGGATACAAGCTACAGATTCAGAAACCCACCTACTAGTAAAGATGCTGTTTTGGCTCAGTGATTCCCATTTGATAGGACTGTCACAGTGCTCGCGCTCAGCGCTGCCTCTCCCCACGAGAGAATCAAAAAGGTAGAAACAAAAGCCTTTCTTCGAATGGCTTTTTGTTGTTGTTGTTGTTTGGTTTTGTTTTTTAGGTAATTCCTGTTTCAGGAAATGATCAAAAGGTACAAAGAAAAGGATCTTGGGGCCTGTCCTTGAGCTGCTTTTTCTTTCTTGTTTTTTCTCCAGGGTAGAACTTCAGCAACAGCGCCTCTTCCGGCTTCTTAGTGATTAACTGGAGTTTTGTAAAAGTTAATTTCGGGAGCAACTAAACTACTGCCTCCCTAATTTTTCTACTTCTTCTTTGTCTTTGAACACTCACCTGATAGGATTAGTTTCAAGGCTCATTGTGTAGACTTGTTTGGGTAAGCCTTTGAATGAAGCATTACGAAAACGTGAGCTACCGAGCCAGCCAGGAGTCGAACCTAGAATCTTCTGATCCGTAGTCAGACGCGTTATCCATTGCGCCACTGGCCCGCGCCCTTCCCGTCTTTTTTTTAGGATGGTATTGCACTATAGGAGAAACTACTATTAGGCAGGGTTTACAATCAAAAAACTTTAAGAGGGAGGTGGACAATACATACTAGGAAAGCATGATTTCTTTCCTGGTTTCCTTACGTGATATACGCTCATATACAGTACCACTACTGCAACCAAGAACCAATTTTCATCTTTAGGACATTGTTATGTAGTAGGGTGAAAGTCAATTCCTTCAACACAGTATTTAAGACTATATCTTTTCTGTGCCTAATTTTGAGCTCTTCAGTGTTGTTTTTTAAATCAATCATCTACTTTCACCTTTCTTTCTTTCTTTCTTTCTTTCTCTATTTCTTTCTTTCCCTCTCTCTCTTTCTTTCTTTTTCTTTCTTCCTTCTTTTCTTTCTTTTTGTTCTTAGAGGTAGGCACTGACAGGTCATTAATATGCAATCGACATTACCTTAAAGTTAAATATTGCAAAAACAAACTGAAGTGATTTCCTGTACATTTCTGGAGACATCATAGTCTCTTTTTTTTATTATTAAAACAGCAAAAAGTATCATCACTCACCTTTGGGAAAATGTATTCTAAAATGGGATTTTGTAACTCAGTGATGTAGCTAAACACATTTAAATATTTAAAAATACTAAGGACACAATTCAATAGATGTACATTTTAGTAATCATATGTGACATAAGAGGAACTATGGAATATTACTAGGAAAACAAGTTTACAACTAATTAATTTACTTCAAGGTACGTGGCTCAAGAGTCTTAGCAAACTTAAAACTCCAATACTGCCGGAACAACAGCAAAGCCCTTAACCTAACCAAACCAACCAAAAATGAACGAAACCTTGCTTAGCTATTCAAAGTAAGCATAATACAGCTGAAAATGCAGGCATGCTTATCTCCTTCGTGGATAAGGTTTCATAAGCCTTTTTGAAAGACAAAAGTGTGCTCTAAACCCATTCCTTGTGCAAAGTTGGAGAACTGCACTGAATTACACCTTTGCTGGTGTTTAGGAAGGAACAAGCAAACGGCACCGTGCGGAAAAATTGTAACTCTCTAGTGCCCTCCGGAAAAAAAATCTCAGGTTTTAAGTGCGAACTACAGACTAACGGGCTTGTCAGTATGCTAGTACAACCACCAAAGGAAATTTTGTCAAGACAGCAAAGCGTGCAGTAAGTGGATAGACAGAAAATATAGCCGCTGTGAGCAGGATTTGAACCTGCGCGGACAGAAAATATAGCCGCTGTGAGCAGGATTTGAACCTGCGCGGGGAGACCCCATTGGATTTCGAGTCCAACGCCTTAACCACTCGGCCATCACAGCACCATACAAGAACCTTTTACTCATTATTCTGAAAACCAGTATAGACCATGTAGACATGGGGCTATGTCTTACTCCACAGAGCTCTCCTTTTAGAGAAGAGTCTCTTCTACATTCCACATCCAATCCAATTCCACGCACTTTAAGTCACAGAAAAATCCACCACTGTGTTCTTCAAGCCACTACAGAAGTTGAATTTGTTCCAATATTTGTAATCTGTTTTCTTGGCCTACTGTGTGCCTGGCTCACTGCCGGGCACTGAAAGTAGATATGTTGCAAATCAGACATGGCTCCTTCTATAAAAACACTTAGTATCTAATGGAAAACAAATTCACTGCGCCCATATGGAGATTTTGAAGTATTAGTGAAATAATAATAATCCCTGCACCATACAGACCCTTAATGAGTGCATAGCAGATAAATTTCTGCTTACCAGAAAGGATATGAATGAGAAGTGATCTACAAACAAGTAAATGTTGAAGCAAATCTTATCTACAACAGTCTTCTCTGGATACCTGCCTCTGTTTGTGTGTGTGTGTGTGTGTGTGTGTGTGTGTGTGTGTGCTGATACCGGGGCTTGAACTGGGAACCTGGAAGCTGTCTCTTAGCGCTTTTTTTTTTCTTTTTCTTCCCTCAAGGCTGATTCTCTACTAGTTGAGGCACAGCTCCACTTCCAACTTTTTGGTAGATGAAGACAACAGTCTCATGGACTTTCCTACCCAGGTTGGCTTTGAACCTCACTTCTTGATTCTCCATCTCAGCCTCTTGAGTAGCCTGGAGCCACCAGTGCCTGGTGCTGCCTCCATTAAAAAAAATCATAATTAAAAAAATTTATGACGCCGGGTGCCGGTGGCTCACACCTGTAATCCTAGCTACTGAGGAGGCTGAGATCTGAGGATCAGGGTTCAAAGCTAGCCCAGGCAGGAAAGTCCATGACACTCTTATCTCCAATAAATCACCAGAAAAGTGGAAGTGGTGCTGTGGCTCAAGTACTAGAGTGCTTCCCTTGAGCTGAAAAGCACAGGGACAGCGCCCAAGCCCAGAGTTCAAGCCCCACAACCTACTGCCCCCCCAAAAAATATTATGACTATCTCTCTTTGAATCAAGAGTTCCTGGTAGACATGTGTCTTAATCTTAATTTGTTTTTACATATTCTCTCTATATTCACTGAAACGATTTTTTTAATATACAGGAGGGGCTTTCATTTCTAAGTATATAGTGCTTAAACAAATCTCTGGACTCATCTGTCTTTTTCCTGTCTAACTCTTGTTCATGTCTCTTTCCTCTTTACCCAGCATACACTACTGTCACTGCCTTGTTTCACTTCAGCTCCACTGTCTCTATCCATTTGTGCTCTTCCCTTAGCACAGTTAGAAACTAAGTAGCTTAACATGACTGAGAATATTACAGGAGAAGTAGTTTGGTTCTTGCTACAAAATAAAACAGCTCCCACCAAAGGAACAGTGTATATGTGACTACAATTTTTCTGGATGCACACATTGCTGAATGATTTGCTTTAGAAAAGATTGTTTCAGTCAGTAATCTTTCTTACACTCTTTTCTTTTCTTTCTTTCTTCTTTTCTTTCTTTCATTTTCTTTCTTTCTTTCTTTCTTTCTTTCTTTCTTTCTTTCTTTCTTTCTTTCTTTCTTTCTTTCTTTCTTTCTTTCTTTCTTTCTTTCTTTTTCTTTTTCTTTTTTTTTTTGCTGGGCCTGGGCCTGAGTGCTGTCCTGAGCTACTTTTGCTCAAGGCTAGTGCTCTACCATTGGAGACAAAGTACCACTTCTGACTTGATTTTTTCCCTGTGATTAACCAGAGATAAGAGTCTCACAGACTTTCCAGCTCAGGCTGGTAGGATCCTCAGATCTCAGCTTCCTGAGTAGCTAGAAAAAGTCAACTCTTTTCTTTGAAATAAGAATTTTGTGATTTATTCTAGTAACATTCAAATTGATGGAAAAGTTGAGGGAGGAGTCAGTTCCTTTAAGGTCTTAAGTAAGGAAAAGGTCCAACTGTGTTTCCACCTGGTTTCGAACCAGGGACCTTTTACGTGTTAGGCAAACGTGATAACCAGTACACTATGGAAACCCTACGATGCTGTTGTAGCTGCTTCTAGTTCCCTCTAATTTTATCAGTAAAGTTTTATACTATGTTCTGAAAGTCTCCTGGTGTAAGTTTTTTTTTCTTCAGCTTCTCCTTGTTTGAAAGGTACCTCAGTTTCACCCTCTTACTCCAGGTGTCTTTCCCTAGATTCTCCCTCTTTCTGATGAAACAATAGTGAGAAACACTTCAATCTCAGACAAATGACTACAACTACTGGCTCCCAATTCTACATCCTGTTACTTAAATTATTTAATTTAAATTATTTAAATTTAAATTATTTAATCTCTCCATCCCTCAGCTTCTGCAACTATACAAGAAGCAGATGATTTTAAATAATAGTGTTTTTTTCACCTATAAGCTAGCAAATTAAGCATAAGGAGTTTGTCCTATTATTATTTTAAATCAGACTTAAAATGCTAGCTTATATTGCTTCTCCCCTCTAACCTGTCAAAATACTAAGTCTGAGATCTGGTGCGACTTGAATCCTAAGAAAATAAATTAGCTTTTCTTGCATAGGTTTGAAAGAATTTTTGTAAGGAGGGTAATGAGAGTTCTGTTGGTTCTACTGGAGGTAGAGGGTGATATTGACAGAAAATACTGCGGTCTGATTTCCCATCTAGAGATTCTAGATTCTGCTACCCCCTTGTGGTAGTTTAGCGCAGGAGCAGAGGGGAAAATCCCACTGGTTTTTCCTGAGCGTGGGTCAAGGGGAGTGGAAACATTCTACATATCCATTTTAAAGCAAAATATGTACTGACATACACATGTCCCTAAAGTTTTACGTCCTTTCCCGTGTTATTTCCAGGACATAGATATAATGCAAAAAGCAAACATTTAGCTGCTTCATCCTTTCTTTAGGCATGGTCTCCGGCTGCTGGGAGCCCTGGTGGAGCACAGCAGGCTGCTGATTTCTGAGTCCAGAGAGAATCAGGCAATAAATGTTGCCCGGTGAGTCCGCCCCGTGCCATGACTTCTCGCCACCTACGGTCGAGGCCCACAGCAAATCACAGGTCAGAGGATCTTCCCGGAAACGGTGGAAGACTGGCCTGGGGGAGGAGGGCAATGGTGGGGATAGGAAGATGGAATCGGTCACGAAGTCGTGTTCAGACGTTCCAGCATTTCTCAAGGGAGGGAAACTCGTTTTTCTAACCTATTCTCAAACTGGTGATTTCTTTTATCTGTCACTTGATGGTAACTGTTGCTGTATTTCCAAGCTAATTTCTGTTGTTTCTTGGACATAAGATACAGTCACTGCGAAAGCCCACACATGCTGGTTTAGAGGGCGCCAAGCCACGGGCCGGGGGCAGGCAGTTGGGGACATGTTCCGGCCGCCTCCGGAACACAAGAGGAATATCCTGATTTTTGTTCGTAAACAAGAAAAACACAGAGCACCGATGTTTCCGCCCGGTTTCGAACCGGGGACCTTTCGCGTGTTAGGCGAACGTGATAACCACTACACTACGGAAACCTGACGCTAGAGGGGCGCTTCCCTCTGCAAACATAAGTGAACACACTTAATGCTCTAGGTTTACCAATTGGGTTTGTCTTTTCCTTACAGAAAATGTTCTGCGGTGAGGTACTGTCGTATTCCTTACACCATTTATTATTTTTTTAATTTATTAAAAGAATTAAATACCTATGATGGAGCTTTATCAGCCGAAACGACTATCTACTTGAAGCTACCCAAGTCTAGTGAAAGAAGCCTACAGAAAACTGACACTAGAGACTTGAGAGATGAAAGCAACGTGGCGCTTGTAGAAAGATTAGAATGGGAATTTAATCAGTGGGAAGAATTGGAGTAACCATGATTTTCTGCAGGAAGCCAATGATTTGAACAGAACACAAAAAAGAAATTAAATGGAGTGTGAACTGGACGAAGGGAAGTATGATGAGAGAAATTGAAGGGGTGGGAGACAAAGTAGAACTATAAAAAATTTGTACGATAGCCACTAACCTGTCAACTTAACCTAATTGGCCTTTCTAACATAGTATACTAAAATTCTGCCTATTATTATTATTTTCTAGTGCAAATGGGAAAATCACCAAACTAATAAGACCATATAATATTTTAATGAAGTTTACAGGATTAAAGTGGTTTCTTTCCTGGCATCAGTATTACGGCTTTGAAGCCTTTCCTCTGCTCAGAGTTGTAGTCTGGCACTTGAGCCACAGATCCCCTTGTAGGTTTTTACTGGTTAACTGATTGTAAGTCTCATGGACTTTTCTGCAGGGCTGGCTTCGGAGCCAGATTCTCAGATCTCAGCTTCCTGAGTAGTTGGAATTTAGTCCTGAACCATTAGCACTGAGCCTAAAATCATTTTAAAAATGTTTGTTTGCCTTTTTTTTTTTTTTGGTAGACAACACAAAGCAGAAGTCAACAATAAAAGGCTAGCTAGAAATTTCCTAGACTTTGGGAAACATAAGCCCTATCTTCCTAAATTACCCCTAAGTGAAAGTAAAAGCACAATGGAAATTAGAAATGATTAGGATGAAAGAAGGAAAATACATGAAGCCAGAGGGAAAGGGAGAGAGAGAGAGAGAGAGAGAGATTAGAGAAGAAAGGTTGAAGAGAAGAAAGTGTTGAGAAAGACGTGGTGTTTTATACTTGAAATCAGTTGCTTGGTCTACACTGAAAAATGGATACCACCAATCTTGATGATAAGGAGAAAAAAGAGGAGTTTGCTACAGATGGATAGATGGTGATGAAAAGATACAGAGGACCAAAACAGGAAAGAAATACCATTTCAATTTGTATACAAATCCATTTAGGAAAGACACCTCCCTTTAGCTAAGACAAAGGCTTTATTGAAAACATTTTTTTTTTCTTTTTGTGCTGGTCCTGAGGCTTGAATTCAGAACCTGGGCTTTGTCCCTGAGCTTCTTTTGCTCAAGGCTAGCACTCTACCACTTGAGTCACAGCTCTATGTCCAGCTTTTTTCTTTTTGTGGTAGTTTAGATATAAGTGTCTCAGACTTTCTCCTACCTGCTCTGGCTTTGAACAGTGACCCTCACATCTTAACCCTCTGAGTAGCTAGGATTACAGGTGTGAGCTATCAGCACATAGCAAGAAAAAAAAATGAAAACAGAGTAACCACATTAGTCATTGAGTGCTTTTAAGTATTCCATTCTTTAGAGCTACATGATATCATTATGTTATTCTCAGTTCCTTTAAGGATTCTTCTATTAATATTTTTAAAAATTTAGTTTTTGCGGTGCTAGGGATCAACATAGACCCTCTAGTAAGGTAGTCAAGCACTCTTACTGAGGCATATCTCCATCCTAAAGTGTCTTTTCTGATGTTGATCAGTCTTTGGACACATTAATATTTCTCTGTACTCCACAAAGAGGCTACTAAGTCCATGGGACCATTATAGTAAGGTAGGAAGAAACTGAGAAGCAATCCATTGCATGCAGAATTCTGTTTACATTATCAAGAGTGAAGATGTGGATATTGTTAGAATCTGTCATACAATTTGAAGATATATCTTAGATAGGGGGAAAAAAACCAACCAGCAGACAAAATATCTTCCTCTTCAGGGTTTGATGTCCTTTTCAGACATTTAATTTTAAAAAATTGTCTTAAAAAATTGTCCCAAGATTCAAAGTGTCCAAATGCTCTTTTCATTTAACTGTAATTAGTTATTAACTATGTTATTTTGCCACTAACTCTTCTTTTAAGATGATATCAATTTCATTTTCAAAAATTTCTGTTGTCTTGAATCTAGAATGATTTAAAGAGGAAGAAGTTATTGTAATATTCAATCTAGACTTCTTAGCCCACTAAGTTATTACTATTCTTTATCCCCCTTTAGACTAAGAAAAGAACCAAAATGTAAAAGAAACCTAAAAGTTTACTAAGAGGTGTGGAAGAAGATTGAAAGGTCAAGAATTTAAATTGTCACCACTGACTATGGCCTCTTGTCTCTAATGCCCTTATACTGTTTCCTGGAACCTAATGATTCACTTGTCTCCCTACTAAAACAGCTACAATACAATAAAAACTACAATTAAAACCAACCAACCAACCAACCACCACCAACAAACCCCAAAAAGCCCCTGGCTTTTATTAGTTCACTGTAAAAACACTGAGTGCCAATTCTATCCAAATTGTGGTGCAAAAATAATATTCTCTGACTAATCAAATACAAAATGCCTGAAAGAGCCTAATGTTGAAATTTCAGAGTAAGGACAAAGGAGCAAACCCAAACCGTATTCATGCTTAGTCTGCCTGTCTACCACTAATCTCACAACGTTAGAATAAGGGTTTTGTCTTACCTGTTTTCTGGCGTACACATTGGGGAAGCTTTCCAGGAAATTGCTCCTTTTCTTTTTTTCAGCATTGCAAAGGCCGAGCATTGGGAAGGTTTATTGGATGTGAATTCAAACTGTTTGGTTCAGTTATATCTTGTACCAGTACCAAAATGACGGGAAACAGAATAACGTAGGCCCCGCTGGGATTTGAACCCAGGATCTCCTGTTTACTAGACAGGCGCTTTAACCAGCTAAGCCACGGAGCCAGCTCCAGGAAGGGATCACCGTTATGTATTATTTGAATATAATTTCACAATTTTGTAAATCTGAACAATACTAGAAATTAGTCTGTGGCGTGATTTGAAAATAATAGCATGGACACCTCAATCGAAACCGAAGGGAAAAAAAATAGAGACTAGATTGAAATGGCTGTCTCTCCTTGGAGAGTTGTCACAATGTAGACCACAGACTCATTATATACTCTAGTGGTCGAGCAAGATCTCTGTAACCCAAAGCGGGGGAAAATGATTGCCCACCACTGCGTTTTAAATAGGCCTGTTCTTCTTCTCTTAGTGTGGATAAGCAGATGACAAGGATGCAACTTCCCAGGTTTCCTGGACTCTGCAAAGAACTGACCATACCCTAAAGGTCTCCAGGAGCGAAAGGAGTCTGCGCCCCTCGCGCAGGGGCCGAATCCCCCCGGCCTGTGGCAGCGCCGTGGATGGTACATTGAT